TTTGATTTGAGTATTGTTTTTAAGTATTCATATGATACCAGTTTTAATATTTGGGGTTTGAGAGTTTTTAATAGATATATTTGTGTAGAAATGTAAGTTGTTTGAATTTAGAAGTAGAATTTGATTGTTAGGTTTATAATTTGATTTTAGTAGTATTAGTTGATAATTGTATTTTGGATAAGAAATATGTCAGATAGCAAGATTGTTATTTCTAATAAAGTATTTGTTGAGGGTATTGAAAGAGAGTGGTATGTTTTGTATAGAACTTGTATTTCTTGTTGATTAATACTAAGTTTAAATTGTTAGTTTTCTTTTTGTGTTTTATATTTGATATTGATTAATTGGTTATAGTTAGTATAGAGTTAGTTTGGTATAGGTAATATTAGTATTGAGTTTGTATTTTGTGAAAGGATTTGATAGATTTGAAATATTATTTGGGAAGGTAGATAATTAGTTATTTTTCTAATTTTGTAATCAGTTTGAGTATTGAGTAAAGACCAGTAATTTTTGTTTAGGTTTTGTAAAGTTATAAGATCTAGTATATTTACAAAAAGGTTTGTTGATGAGAGGTTTATATTTAGTCAGATTTCAGAGATTAGAGTTATTTTGATTTGGTTTGAAAGATTTTTGTACCATTTAGAAGTTGGTTCTCATAGTAGTTTGTAAATTCTAAGATATATATTTTTTTAAGGGAGTAAAAATTGGTTGTTTGCTATGAGGAGTTGTTCGATGAATAGAATTTGATTATTTCTAAGACTTAGAATCATAGCTATATCTAGTTTTAGGAAAAAGTTGTATATAAGATTTAGTTGTTTTGTTTAGTTATTAGTTTGTAAATTATCAAGAGAAGAATTGTTAATTGATATATTGTTTTTATAAATAGGTATAAGTTGATTTATAATTGTAAAATTTAGAGTTTTCTGTTAGTTTGAAAGGACAGTTCTTTAGCAATTACTTAAAACTTATATCTAATTTTTTTAAAAAATTTATATATAGTTTTATATATAGTTTTTTACTAATTTCTACAAAACTATTAATCCAATTTAGCTAAAAATTTAATATGTTGTAGCCTTAATTTATATCTATTAACAGTAAAAATTTTATTCAATTAGAATAAGTAGTTTCTAAGAAAATTGCTTCTGGAACTATATAGAAATTTCTAATTTTTGAACATATACATTAAATTCATATTAAAATTTAATTATAATTTTCTCAATAACTATTGGTCCAAGTATTAAAAATAAAAACTCTTTCTTGTACTGCTCAACAACTATATTGCAGAAAATAGGAAAAAGAAAAAACAACTATACAACTAATACTAAAAACTCTTCCCTTTGGGAAGCTTAAATAAAAAAGATAACTACTCACAAAAAAAACAACTACTAACTTATAAAACCAACTACTTGAATATTACAACTCTAACTATAAGAAATAGAGGAGGAATGAAAAAATGTCATCTTATTAATAATGTTAGTTCGAACAATACAACAAACAATAATAAAAACAATAACAATAATAATACTCTGAATATAGAGACTACAAATATGAACTACACATTCCAATAAAGCAATACAATAACAACAATAAAATAGCTAAATATATCTTGAATTTTGTAATCTATGATGCTAATAAACTAACTTTTAGAATTTATTTTACTTTAGAACTTTCTAACAATATACATACCTACTATATCAATATATAAAAATCTACTATCATCAATAATATCACACAATTTTCAAAATATTGAATACATTCTAGTGAAGCTAACATACTTCTCTTTACACTTAAAAAGTTAGAAATCAGAATGTAATCACAATTTCTGCAATCAAAATTCTAACTAGTGAAACCCATAACTCCTCTCTTGTTTAAATCTATATCTAAACAAAAATACAATATCTCAAAGTGAATAAACAAGAAAATATATTAGTACTTCCAATATTATTCTATAAAAACTTCACTAATACTACTAATACTTCTACTACTACTCAGCCAAATACTCATGTATTCTCTCCTGAAACTAGTAATATAGCTACTAATAATACAAATAATGCCAACAGCAGTAATACTAGCTCTACAAATAAAATACAGACTACTTCAAATAAGTACAAAAACTATGAGAAATCTAGCACAAATCTTTATACAAAAAAGTATAACACAAGGAGCATAAAAACACAAAGTGAGAAACAATATAATACAGAACTACTTTAATCATGAGCTAACCAAATAGAGGATAATACAGATAGCCAATATGTATCCCTAATACAATATCTAATATATACTAACTGACCAACATCATCTTTATCTATTAAAATATGTGATATACTAATAGATGATAATAAAATAGAAAAAGAATCTCTAAATAATAACTAAATAGAAACACAATCTGAAACTGAATATACAAAACCCTTATACAGCTAAGCTTTATAAAACAACTCTACTTTAGCCTCAAGACTCTTTATTAATAATAGAGATGATAGTAATACATAGACAGATAAGCTCATGAATAATATGAAATCTAATCTTACTAACTTCGACACAACTACTTAGCATTATAACTATATAGTTAAATCTCTAGAATCACTCAAAAGAATTCAAGAATTTGTAGTATACAAACTCCAAACATGACCAACTCCCTAAATTATACTACTAGCAATATTCCTCAAATTCAAATATTTTGATATTCAATTCTTTACATCTTTTACTTACAATAAACAAATTACCTCTGTACATCAAAAAGAATTTGAAAATATACTAACTACTGCAACTAATCCCTACAAACACACTAATAATATTATAATCATCAATCAAGAAACATGAAATACTATCACAAAAATGCTCAAAACATATTTAACTATTCAATTTTTACTCAATAGCAACTTTATATAACTAGACAACTTCAATATATCTAAAATCATTTAATATTGCAGATGATTTCTACAATTGAGCAAAATTGAATGGAATAATCTAAAACAAGCTGTCAACAAAGTACAAGTATCACTTTTCATACCTCTACCTAATGACCCTTCTATGATCTCTAATGAAATAAAGAAACTTTTACCATTTGAACTTCTAATTGTCAATTATAACAATACCAAAGGAATAGTTATAGCACTAAGAAAAATCTTCTCCTTTATACAACTCTCTGAAACTTACTTCCTCAAACTACTACCTCTTCTAGATGATCCTAGTAATTTTAATTAAAAGCTAAAAAAATTCTTCTCAATTACTAAATGAAAAGATCTTAACTATTTATTTTTCTACTATAACAAACTTTGTAACTTTTATTCCAAAATTCTGCATTTTTTCTTTAAAATTAATAAATATAAAATAATAATATATTTTTCTAATGTAGATTTTTGTGTAAAATCAGATTATTTAGAGTATAAAGATAGAATTTATTAGTAAAATTTTGAAAATCTTTAAATTTTCAATAATTTTATTAATAAAATTATTGAAAATTTCAAGATTTTCAATATTTTACTAATAAATTCTATCTTTATACATTAACTAATTTTGTTCTAAGGATAAAATTATATTATATTAGTATATTAGACTTTAAATTTTATAAATAATCAGAAAATGATACTAAATTTTGATTTTTTCATCAAAAATTTCAAAATTCCACATCTTTTCTTTAAAATTAATAAATATATAATAATAATATATTTTTATAATATAGATTTTTGTATAAAATCAGATTACTTAGAGTATAAAGATAAAATTTATTAATAAAATTTTGAAAATCTAAAATTTTAAATAATTTTATTAATAAAATTATTGAAAATTTTAAGATTTCAAAATTTTACTAATGAATTCTATCTTTATATACTAAATAATTTTGTTCTACATATTTTATTATATTATATAAGTATATTAAACTTTATATTTGTTAAATTTTAAGATAAAGATAGAATTAAAGTTAAAATTAAAAATTTTAAGATTAAGATTAAAGAATTAGGAGTTAGGGTTAGGGTTAGGGTTAAGGTTAGGATATAATAGGTTTTAGTAAAAATACTGAAGCGGAGGCGACAGCCGTAGCAAAAGTATATACTTAATTTTTATAATTTTAAAAACTAAAAAAATTATTTAACTATTTAATTATTATTAACTGAAAAAACTAATATTTTATTTAAACTTTGATTTTAAAAATTTAAGAACTAAAAAAAATAAAAACACTAGCACCCGGAGCAACGCCAGGGTCTATAAGCTAGTATAAAATATAAGTGAATTGTTAATTTTTAATTAATCGATTAACGTTAATGTTAACTAATTGGTCGATTATCAACTAATCGATTAGTTATCAAAGCGGGATTGGAGTTGAAGCATATTTAAAGCTCAAGTTTATTATTATTATCAAAATGGAATTGAATTGCAAAAGACTTGCAAAGAGCAAATTACTAGAATCAAAAGTAAATATTTTTTTTTACTCTAAATATTTTGTTTTTTTATTAGCATTTATTAAATATACTTTTAATAATATTAAATAAAAAAGTAATACGTAGAAAAACGAAATCCGGTTCCAAACTCTAATCATATCTTACTGATTAATAGATAACTTACTCAAGAACTTCAAATTCGATGCAGTTATCTGTAAGACTTTCACCCTTCCGTTTATTAAATCATTCACCATATTGATATAATTTATCTAATATCAGAAATCATTGCATGAAAAAATTCATCATCTCTCCATTCAAAAACATCATAAGGTATGCAATATTTTGACATTAAAAGATTCGTAAAGCAAAAGAGCAATATGTATAGGTGATTGTCGAATCACTTTTTCACCTTTAATAAAGACAATTTAAAAAAAAGAAAAAAAAAAAATAACGCAAAATTTTTTGATACTTAATTTGCATCCTTTAGATGCGTCCCAGAATAACGAAATTAACTTGCACATAAAAATGACAATATGGTGAATCTTCATATATATATCCAGATGTATCACATTTAATATTTTAATAGGCAAGAATAATTCCGTCAAAATTCTTCGACATATTGCATTAAGTATATGTATAAACTCCTTGGTCGAAATCTTCAAAAGCTTTAGGTGGCACATCAATAAACATTTTAGCAGTAACTATCCGGAAAGGTGATTCCCAGTATCAACCGACGTATTGGTCAATGTATAATTCTCAACTTCACACGCCGTTAATTTATTATTAAACGCAGAAACTTCTTCATTCGATACTGCGTCGTCAGTTTTAACTTCATTGTCTGATTTGTGTTTCTTACGATCATTTTTCTTTGATTTTTTCTTTTTTTTTTGATTTCTTGACTTTATCATTATCAAAGATAGAGTTATTAGGTTCCTTCTCAGTCTTGTTCAAATTGCGTTTCTTATCACTTGATTTTTTTAATGGGCCTACTTTACGGTATTATAAAATCACATGTTTATTTGATTCGAAAATCATAATTACAAAGATGCTATAAAATACATTAGCGTTAATAAACTTACCCGTGTAAATTAATCCAAGTGCTAAATAATTAACTCCAAATCTAAGCTAAATTATTTTTGAAAAAAGTATTTTCGGCAAATTTCGGCATTGCTACATTTTTTTATATGAAACCCTCCGAAATAACTTTACTTTAGGACGTATTTTGATGAAAGGAGTTCAAAGAATTTCGGTAATAATTTCGGCAAATATGAAAGTTAATTTCGGCAACTATGAGTCTAATTTCGGCCGAAATAAGTTTTTATAGTTACATCATATTAGTTATTACCAGTGTTGTCAATTTCTTGTTCTATTGATAAAAATTATATTCTATTCTAATTTATGAAAAACCATAATTCGTTAACATAAATTAAATAATTCTCTTAACGAAAAACAAAACATGAATTTTTACATGTTTAGAAAAAAAAAAGTCATGTTTACTATACCTAATCAATTTGTCTTTACATTTTATAACTTTCAAAACTCCATCTTTATGTGCTTTAAATTGAATTTTCGAACGCCTCGATATCATATCCCATATGATAATATTGCCTTCCACATCTCTTATAAAAGATAAACAAATTGATCATAAAAATATATTACTTGTATTAATCAATTTCTTCGTCGAATAAAAATAAAAAATAAAACTATACGATTATATTTAATATCTTTTAATAAAAAGGAAAATTTCTCTTACCCTGAAATAAGATATCTATTAGTTTCAATAAATTCTAAACAATTAATTTGTTCTGCATGTCCTCGAAATATATAGATCGGTGAGGGCGGCGTCGTTGAAGTTGCTTTCTTTTTAACATACTCTAAAAAATATTTATAATACGAATTTTTATTACAGGGGGTTCCTTAAAGCGGAGTAGATTTTGCGAAAATTTGATAAACCCGGATCAGTCCGACGAAGAAAAACAAGCGAAAAAAAAAGAAATAAAATTTAGTTCATGTAGATCATCCTGATTAAGACATGATTACATCATTTGACATAACTATAAGAATGATTATCAAAACAAATATTTGTGTTTTACATTTTTACATACTTCTTTCTTTTTACACTTCGTACTTTTACTTTTTACACTTCTTTTTACTTTTTACACGTTTTAAAAAATACCCAAAGACGATTAAAAATAAGGTAATAATATAACTGAATAGTTGCCG